AGCTTTATAGTTTTGTATTGTTTGTAGTGTGATCAACGTTTGCGTAAGTAGTAGATGTGTTAGGGAAGTAACATGTAACATTTTAATTATATTTTGCTAAAATGAACGAATGACTCAAAAAAAGATTTGTTAATTTTGCTGAACGAGACTCAAAGGTCTGAGTCGGTAAAATGATCCGAACTTCCCATCACTAGTGGGCAGTTTGCTAAGAATGATCAGCCCTACATGCAAATAGGTTGGACACACCCATATTTATAGGAGGCTTTTAACCCTTGTGCGTCAATTAAAAAAAGTTACACATAGGTCCATAGTGGACAAAGATGTCCATGTCAAAAAACTGTCATACAAATTTGAAGCTTGGGAGCACAGAGTTAAGTTTGGTCTCATTTTAAAGAAGACCCATGGCAGATTATTGTTGAAGTAAAAAAAGTTTAAAAAGTGAAACCAAAAAAAAAGTTCTAGATGTTTAGGTTTATGAAAATGATTTATGAACGATGTTTTATATACAATATATATTTTATGAAACATGTTGAACTCTATACCTGCTAGAAAATCAAAGCCATGAATCTTAACAAGTTGTATTCCAAATTTGAGGTTGATATCTCCAAAAATGAGCTTTCAGTAACATTGTGTTTGGGCGCAGTACCAAATGTTCCCCATTAGATGCCAGCAAAACTCTGCTGGTGCACACAGTGGTTGGATTTGTGATTTGCAGTAGAGTTTTTCTCTCTCAAATATTACAAGAACACACACACACACACACACACACACAATTTTTTTTTTTTATGACACACATACAAACCACACTCTGACATCCATACCAACACACCCACACAATTATAGCTGCATTATTTATCCAATTGGCTCTATAATATGCAGAAGCAGAAAACAGAAATAAAGCGAGTATTTTCTTTATAGGTCAAACCTGAAAAAATGGCACCATCTGGTAAAAAATTGTAAAAAATACAATTTTAAAGCCTTGCCAATATAATGAAAGCCTATCAACAAAAACTGCATAATTTTACAGTTAAATGGCACTGCGATTTAAAAATAGCAGTTTTAATGGGTTTCAATGGGGACATTTTTGTCCTTAAGGTCCTGAGAGGAACAATTTTTTGTACCTAGTGCAAAACAGATTTATTAAAGGAAATGGAAGTGAAATAGTAAAATTCCAATAAAAAGACACACCTGTGCCAAAATGTATGCAGTTGTCAATAACGCAGGCAAAATGATCAAAAAAACAAAACTGAAAAGGACAAAAATGTCCAAAAGGTCGCACAAGGGTTAAATGTGGTAATTGTAGCAAATGTAACTGTGCCTCTCACTAAATAGCATTTAATTTTATTTATTTGATTTTATGTAATATATGTAATGTAGTTTAGTGTTAATTAAGTGTCATGGTGCTTTTGTTGTTTGGACTTTTAGTTTGAAGTTCTGCATTGTGCCTACAGTATGTTCTTTTTCCATGGTTCTCCTTCCTTATTGTTCCAATCTGTGTTTTGTCTACCTGATTTTTACCTGATCTGAATCAATGTAATGAGCGTTGTTTACGTTCAGCATTGCGCGTTCTTTTGCTGAAAGTAAAAAATGCTCATTACGTTGATTACGTTCTGGGTTACTCTCCAAAATGGCGGAAGACGGTAACTCGGGGAGAAGAATTGTTGAATAAATTGTTGTTGTTTTCTTTGCACACAAAAAGTATTCTCGTAGCTTCGTGAAATTACGGCTGAACCACTGATGTCACATGGACTATTTTACAAATGTACTTGCTACGTTTCTGGACATGGGAACATTGCAGTTGCATTGCTATCTAAGGAGGGTCAGAGAGCTCTCAGATTTGATCAAAATGATATAAATATTTCTTCCGAAGATGAACGAAGGTCTTACGGGTTTGGAACGACATGAGGGTGAGTAATTAATGACAGATTTTTCATTTTTGGGTGAACCAACCCTTTAAAAGCCAAAGAGAAGAGATGGGTTTTAAGATATGACTTGAACTCAGATAAAGTGGAAGCCATTCTAATGTGAACTAAGTTGTTCCAGAGGGTGGGACGAGACACCCTCTACATTCCTTGATCTTTAAGCGGGTTCTAGGGATCTGGAGGAGAAATTTGCCCTCCGATCTTAGTCCCCTAGTCGTAGTGTAGGGGTGGAATAAATCAGACAAATAAGGAGGAGCTTGATTGTTGAGTGAATATAGACAAGTAGCAAGATTTTAAAATCAATTCGATAGTGAACTGCCAGCCAATGCTATGATAACAAGAGGGGAGTAATATGATCGAACTTGTTACACCCCCTCAGGAATCTAGCTGCTGCATTTTGGATTACTTGTAACTTTACAAGTTTCAAGTAAACTACTTGTAATTTTTGTATGTCTGCTCTGCTCTTAATGCAACTACTGTATGTATTGACAGAATTCACTGCAGTTGTCACCATCATTATTTGTTGCGGCATTCCCATAAACTGCATGTTCTTTGCTAATATCAAGCTTGGGCACAATCTGTGGACATTTTTTTTTTATTACCGAGCAGCCAAGAAATAACCGTAAATTACTTAATTAGTGTAAAAGTAAAATCAAATGTAAGTGTGTACATGTGCAAAGACACACACACGGATGCTTGGCTAGTCATGTGAAGAGCCACATCTCTAGCCTTTGAGATAATGTTTGGCCTGGAGTGTAGTGGAGTGGATTGAAGGGCTTTAAGAGTGAGGTTTGGGGAGTTATGGGATCAGGAATAGGATTATATTTAGTCTCATCCCCACATAAGCCAAGAGCACTTCTGACTGTCTCCTTCCCTCTCTCCTTACCAAAAGAAAAAAAAAACTAAACATTGCTCATCAGAATAAATAGAAACAGAATAAATACAATTTTAAATCATAAAATATAATTCGTTTAGATTCAAAGTTGACATTGTGGTGCGGAGTACAGAAGTAGTGAAATTTAGTTCAAATCTAACCAGAAGTGCAAAAAGTTCAAATGTTATGGTACAGCTGCCATGTACAAGGGATATAATAGTGAATGATGTGGTCACATTAGTGAAATGTCAGTGAAATTTTGTGGGTCTATTGTCAGTTGTGTATATTTGAAGCCAAACTCACACAGGTGTCACTACCAAATCAAGCAGCTTTCCGTTGCTCTACGTATGGATCAGACCTTCATTCCAACAGCACATCTAGTTTAGGATTAAAGGGATATTCCACTCAAAAATAAAAATTTCTGTCATCATATGCTCATCCTCAAGTTGTACCTATAAACTAATACAGGTTTGGAACAAGGTAAGTGTGAGTAAATAATGACAGAATTTTCATTTTTTTTTGGCAGAACTATCCCTATCAATAGTTGGTTTCTATGGGTGATATGCAGTGAGATTCAAGTAGCTGCTTAACAGCTGTTCACATCACAGCTGTTGCTACAATCTATCACTGGACTGGCCAATGAGCAGCAAGGAGTGGGATAATTGGTTTTATAAATGTCATTGTCAGATGTCTTTTTTCCCATAGAAATACAAGGAGCTTGAGCAGTCGGTGAGGGTGGAGGAGATTGATGGAATCAAACTGGTGAAGAAACTTGCTGGGGAAATGGAGCAGATGTTCCACAAGAAGGCTGAAGCTATAAAGGTAACTGTCTTTGCATGTTTTAAATAGAGAGTTTTATTGGGTTTATCAGCATAAAGATTGGTGCAGGTTATTCAGGCCAAGAACATTATAGCCAGTTAAAATACAAATGTTTCCAGCAAAATGTAAAATACAGTAAAAACCAAGTAAACAACAACCAAGGTCTCTCTTCCATACAGTTTTCCTCTAAAAAAAAACACTCAAAAAATGTATCTGATATTCTCCACAATACATAGTAACAAACAGCAATATTTACTTACATTTTTTTTTTTATCATCTAGCATGAATCAAAGTCCATCATACACTCAAAACATATCTTACACACACACACACACACACACACACACA